AGGGGTCTCATTCTGCAGGACTTGACCTTCGTTCACCTTGGGAACCCTGACCTCATTGACGGGAAGGTTAATTTCTCCAAACGCTGGCAGCAATTCAACATTCTGGACAGCATGCGGCGCTTCCAGCAAGTGTAAGTCCACCGGGATAAATTTACAGTACGATGAAAAGATGCACGTCATCTTGATAGATCATTAGAAAGCTTTGTGAACATCAATCACAATAACACGTCATCATTCGTTTGCCCCTGGCAGGAAATACAACGGCTGCCTACTTTGATTTACATTAAATTATAATATCTTAAAGCATCGCTGCCATCTCCACATGGGCTGTTTGTTTTCTCACTAATGAATCACTGCATTCATCAAACCTGCACCTCTTCCCATCTCAGGCATTACGAGCTGAAGCGCAACGAAGACATCGTCTCTTTCTTCAACGACTTCAGTGACCACCTGGCAGAGGAGGCCCTGTGGGAGCTGTCGCTGAAGATCAAGCCCAGGAACATCACCAGGCGCAAGACGGACCGCGAGGAGAAGACCTAGGGCCCTGTGGGCCTCCGAGACTGACCTCCAACTGTGCTTCATGACACTAACTCCACTTTACTACAGACTGAGAGAAAGAAGAATGGAAGCTATCCGCTGGAGCTAATGGGAGATTCATTGTGGGGGATGCAGAACAAACTACAGACAACTGAAGCGTGGCCGAGGTTTACAAAGAGCTCTGCTGCTCTGGGAGATTATATTTGGGATTACTGTGGCTCCGGCGTTTAGACGGGGAGAGATTCAGTGACTATGGTGAAACGCGAGGAAGCTTAGTGCCAAGGAGGAGTGAAGAATCACACAGAGCGGACAGGGAGACACTACGGAAATAACCAAAGTCTGCTCCCTGGGCTCTCTGTTTTAGAGTGGAGCTGTTGCGTGTATGTGAGATTGAGCTGAATGGTCCATTACTCTCTGAGTTGCTCCTTCCTCTTCCTTTATGTATGTGCCATTTGTTGGTCATCTTCTGCAACCCTCTCCTTCACTCACGAGTGCCCCCTCAAAGAGCAGAACCTCGATCGCGTGGCCTGCCCTGAACTGTAACGTCAACATGCAGGCCACAGACACGAGAATCTGCCGGCGGGGGGGAGACACGAGGGGATTTGAACTCCAAGAGGGGATGACCATTAGAGACTGGAACCTATGAGTTTGTTTTGAAACATTTTGTGTAAGAATCATGTATGGTTATGAAATGTATTATATACAGTGCTCCTTTTGTTCTTAAAAAGGATGTTTATGCTTATGAGAAGAGCTTAGCTTCTCCCAAGTGCCATACATATGTGCACTAAAAAAAGCAAAGCAAAAACACAAAAGATAAATTACTAAAGATGCTGTGATATATGTATGTCATACTGAATCATTGTGTGCCGTGTTCAAGTGTAGAGAACCATGAGGCAATCACAATCATGTCCCGGTCATGTCAGTGTGTGGAAGAGTGTTTGTGTGTGACTGAAGTCCTCGGCGACTTGTGTGTTTGTCATTCCAAAATGTGCTGTAGTAAATCATTTCAATTCCTTTTTGGGATAATGGTCAAAACCAACACATCACACTGTGCTCTCAAACTCCAATAAAACAAAACAGCTCTGTTTCTAAACACTGTGTCCGTCAGAGGTTTCATTTTCGTCGTCAAAACTCAAATAAGACTTGTTCAGAGAATTTCCATTTATTGTTGTACAGAATGGTCACTGGAAAATGAACTTTAAAAAAAATTAAGGCATGTATTTAACTGTAAATGATCAAAAGGAAGCACTAGGTGCGACAGTCCTACACCACACAGCCATCTGGCCTGATTTGATTTAAATAAGTTAAAACACACAGGGAAAGCAGCAACATAACAAGAGGTTAAGGTGAATATAACTTAAATAAAATCTAAATTAAAGCAACAAAAAAAGCAGGTATAAATATAAGGTCAAGGTGCAAAAGCATGACTGAAATTAAACATTTAAATAACACGTCCTACCCCCAAATATATTACCTTCCATCTCAGTAACCGGTCATCTGACCTCAGACAACAAGGAAAAGTCACACCGTCATGGAAGACTGTTACATCTGAAAAGCATTTTAGCATATTGGTTGTTCACCAATAATTACAGTGAAAATATGAAGAGGTTGCAGCACTAAAAGCTTGCACTGTCGGATTGTGGATACTTGGAAAAAAACACTGCAAAGGGTGAGACCAGCATCACAGTTGCTGACCCATCCCTCACAAATCAGTAGCAGCAATCTTAAAACTCAAAGCTCATATTCACAGTCCGGACACATCCGTCCACCCATGCATCCGCTCGGTCTCAGTGGGGCCGACAACTGGGTTCCAGCAGGACCCTCTTTCCAGCAGGATTAGCGGCTCCGGTCTGCAGGTCCCCCTGCTCAGAAATGGCCCGTTTGAAGCCTCGCGCATGACCATTCATGGACCCACGCTGCCATTTGCAGATGTCACCGTTGAGTATGTCTTGGATGTGCTGCACGATGAGGTTGATGGCCACTGGTGAGAGACGAAGAACTTGTCAAGCATTCATGCTGGAGAGAGTAGCAGAAAAGCATCTTAGCTAGTGGAAAAAAAAAACACTTACCCATGTTGTCAACTCCTCTCGGAATGATGACATCTACATATTTCTTTGTCTAAGAGAAGCAAATATCTTAAGGTTTGCTGATACAGTCAGACAGTAGAGAAAAGGCACACAGTTGGTGATAATTTTCATACTTACAGGCAAACAAAACTCTTCAAAAGCAGGCTTGACAAATGTTGTATACTGTGTAAGGATCTGCTCCAGGTCTCTGCCTCTGGTCATGTCTCGCAGAACTACAGGAAAGTTGAGTCAAACTTATTGATACACTGTGGCAACATCTGCAATACTGTGTGCGAGGGAGACGTCAATACCTCTGCGAGACAGTCTGACATCTGAATCTGTGTCCACAAAGAGCTTCATGTGAAACATGTCACGCACTTTCTGGGGGTAGAAGACCAGGATCCCCTCGAATAGGACCACATCTGCGGGATAAACTGTGATCCTGTCTTCCAGCCTGGAAATACACACACAGTGTTCATACAGAGGCAATGTTAATGAGAATTATTCTGTGAAAACGATTTCTGATTAGGGATGAATCCAAGAATACTTCCTTCCTACCTGGAATGGGTGACAAAGTCATACGTCGGCACTTCAACCACCTTTCCCTCCACAATGTCCTTCAAGGTCTTGTACATTAACTCGGTGTCAAACGCCTCTGCAAGATATCATACAGAAGCAAACCAGTTTTACTAAGTTGTTTATTTGTGATGATTTCTCATTAGCTAATTTTTAGGTAAAGGGGAGACCAGGGGAAGCTTGCCTTGGTCGAGCACTACCAGTAAGCCCCAGTATTAACATTCTGTCATTGTAAAGTATCTTCATTACTGCAGTCTGACAACCCAGACTGCAGATAACTTTATCTAATTCCACGTGTGACATTTACGACTACATTTGGCAAAATCAAAAAAGGCTTGCAACACAATTTGGACTTTGATACCTTTGCTCAAGCCAGTTTGGGAAGAGAAAGTTTCAGGCTTTTTTCCAATATGGGATGTGATAAGTACAACATGACGAGGCAGAAACATCCTAAATTTATTTTGAAGCACTCTTTTTTTTAATGATTAAATTCAGTCACACTTGTTTTGACAAACTCATCTAAACAAATTAAATGCAGTTTTGATAGTGTGTGTGTGTGTGTGTGTGTGTGAGAGAGCGAGAGA